TGTATAAATATATGTGTGTAAACTCACATGTTTGTATATGTACAAGAATATCTCTGTGGCCGGGTGCGGTGGCTCATGCCTGTAATGCTAGCACTCTGGGAGGCCGAGGCGGGCGGATCGTTTGAGGTCAGGAGTTCGAGACCAGCCTGAGCAAGAGCAAGACCCCGTCTCTACTAAAAATAGAAAGAAATTAGATGGACAACTAAAAATATAGAGAGAGAAAATTAGCCGGGCATGGTGGCGCATGCCTGTAGTCCCAGCTACTCGGGAGGCTGAGGCAGAAGGATTGCTCGAGCCCAGGAATGTGAGGTTGCTGTGAGCTAGGCTGATGCCACGACACTCTACTCAGGGCAGTAGAGTGAGACTCTGTCTCAAAAACAAAAAAGAATATCTCTGTAAGGATACCTAAGAATGAATAACTAGGGACCTCACTGGAGTTGTCTGAGTACCCAGAGGTCAGAATAGAAGATTTTCTTTTTACAGAATATCCTTTTGGGCCAGGTATGGTAGCTCACACGTGTAATCCTAGCACTTTAGGAGGCTGAGGCAGGAAGATTGCTTGAGGTCAGAAGTTCTAGACCAGCCTGAGCAAGAGTGAGATCCTCTCTCTACGAAAAATAGAAATGTGCATACCACCAGATGTGGTGGTATGCACCTACAGTCTCAGCTACTCAGAAGGCTGAGGCAGGAGGATTGCTTGAGCCCAGACGTTTAAGGTTGTAGTGAGCTGTGATGATGCCATTGTACTCTAGCCCAGGCAACAGAGTGAGACCCTATCTCACAAAAAAAAAAAAAAGAATATCCTTTTGAACTTTCTGGAGTTTGTACCATGTCCACATGGATAATATTGTAACTGTATCCATGTACATGATAATGATTTCAACCCATTACCTACAGGACTGAGTTCATGTTCTTTAGCCCAGCATTAAATATCCTTGATAATTGATCCCCAGGCACACATTGTTTCCTAATCCCCTGCACTTCCTACATATAAACGTTCCCCTCCAGCGAGAGCCTACCAACTGGCCCTCTGATGTTACAGGCCTGGGATTGGCAAACCTTCTCTAAAGAGCCAGCGAGTAAATATTTTAAGCTTTGCAGACCATATGGTCTCTATTGTAACTACTCAGCACCACCATTATAGTGTGAAGCAGCCATAGACAATATGTAAACAAATGAGTGCAGCTATGTTCCAATAAAACTTTTTTTAATGGACCCACTGATATTTGGATTTTATATAATTTTCACTTGTCATGAAATATTATTTGTTTTTCAACTATTCAAAAATGTGAAAACTATTCTTAACTCATGACCTGTACAAAAACAAATGGTGGACCAGATGTGGCCCACAGGCCATAATGTGCTGACTGTGTTCTAGGTCATTTCTACCTTCATTTCACACCAAATTATATACTGCATTATGACCTCTCTTACATTGATGATTTGAGTTGTGATATAGGTTTTGTAATGTATTTTAAAAGCATCCCCCCAACTAGATTATAAATTCCTCAAGGTCAGAAAGTATATATTCTGTTTCTTTGCGTCTCCCATAAGGCCTAACATAGTTGTTCTACAATATTTAGTTTTTGAAGAAATTGTAGTAAATAAAGGAAGGTCAATTCCCTGTTGCAAATGGCAGTTTAAGTGTCATGGCAAGGATCTGTTTCTGGCCTAAGAAAAGCACCGTTTTCCTGTCCGAGCCCCCCAGGGCCTGCATTTGCTGGCAGGTGGGGGCATCTCTATCCGAGGCCTGCCCTCTGTGCTTGATGGTCTCAAAGGGAAGCTTCCTGAAGAGTTGAAGGTACGACCTATCCCAAAGGGTGGGTCTTACAGACCCAAATCAGTTCCTGCAACACTTGCCCAAACCTATTGACTGCTGCATCTCTCCTCGTGTGGAGAAGAGCGTCATCATGAATAAGCCATGATGACCAATAATTAGCAAACAGTTTCTATTTGCCTTGGAAATGTGTTGTTTGTATTTTAACTGGAATATGGATATCTTCAACATTTTGGAAATCCTTCATTTCCCATGGTGGATAAGCCTGACTTAGAAGAAGAAGGACATCTGTCACACCCAGTCTGCCCCCTTCACATCCTGCCTGGCTCCCCACTTCATGCGGGGAGTGAACTACATCACCCCTGGGGAACAGTGAAAAACATCTGCCCAAAGCAGCTCTGCATTCCAGGCAGGGCTCTCCTCCCTCATACCAGAGAGTAAAGGCTTAACAACCCCTCTCTTCCTGTCCCTGCCAAGCTAGAGGAAACCTAGAGCCTCTGCCACTGAAGCAGCTAAGCCCAATAGGTGAGAATGTCAACAAAAACTTGAAGTCCAGATTCAGCTGTCCTGAAGAAAGACAATCCAGTTGTCCGGCACATGTGTCTGGTTGCCACTGGCACTTGCAGTTTGTCTGGGGCCTTTGCAGGTCATCAGCAGAATGCTGTGTCCATGTTTATTTGCTTGCCCACGTCTGGGTGTCTGATTTGTGCCCCTGTTCTGGGGGACAGCTGCAGACTTAACCACTTCCTCCATTTAGCTCATCAAATATTCATTGAGCATCTGCGGCATCTGGGCTGCATCTGGGACCCTAGAACTTGCTGAAGCAGTCCCTCTGTGTCAAAGTCCTGTCTCAGCCATGGAAATGTCCTCAGCCATCTTTGGGATGTTCATTTCATTAGATTGTG